AGTCTCAGTGGTGGGAATGTATTTATCAAATGTGGATAGAGAATCAAACCATTCAGCTGTCTTTGTCGTATTTTAATTCTTCAGTTTAAAGTTCAGTCCGTCACACAGAGAGCATACAGTCTGCAGAGTGAAAGACCAAGAGTAGAGTTTGGGTTATTTAAACACAGAGAGAGGAGAAAGGGAGGGGTTGAGCTTGGTGAAACAAAGGAGCATTGTGGAAGTTAGGGAGGCAGGATCAGGAAGTTCACCTGAGTTGAAGGTCATACTGTTGGTGCACATAGAGAGTAACTAACAACACTGCAACACATCTTCTCAACAAGAATGTTCCCAAGCTTAGCCAGGACGTGAAAGCCAGTAAATAGAGATAAACATTAGCAAGTAAGAATCACACAATGATATTATTAAAGTCAGTAAGTGAATATAATATTATTCTATTACAACTTCTCATGCTGTTTCCTGCAGCTGGTGGGCACTAACGGCGTGCTGAACATCGACAGTAAGCTCCGCCTCCAGTTGTTCTGCCCCCCCGCCCGGGCCAAGCGGACCCCCGGCAGCATCGAGGTGTTCGAGTGGTGGAGCAAGTTCCCCCGAAACAAGTACAGCTCCACGCTGTACGTCACCGTGAAGGGCATCGCTCTGCCCGAGCACGTACGTTACACTTTATCTTTATCGGGAACACTTCTGGATATGTGCTAATGAGGCTGTTTACCATATACAGCACATGATGTTTCAGGTGGAGCCGTGCATGTGATACTGTATTTATGATATATTAATATATACATGATGTTTCAGGTGGACCCGTGCATGTGATGCTGTTTATGATATATTAATATATACATGATGTTTCAGGTGGACCCGTGCATGCGCTCCATGATGGCTCTGCAGGAGGAGCGGGGCAGCACCTCCTTCTTTGAGCTGCAGAGCGAGGCCACCAGGAGCCTGATGCAGCCCCCCCACACCCTGCCCCCCCCGCCCAGGTGGAGCAGGCTGCCTGGACAGGTGAGAGACACATTACATCCATTTCATTATTTTTTAATACATTATTTTAAAAAATAAATCAATAACTTTATTTTTAGATTAAAAATACTTTTCTGAATCAATTAAAGGTGGGGTAGGTAATTTTGGAGAAACCAGCTCGAGTGCGCTAGCATTTGAAAATACACGACCGGAAAAAATCTGCCCCTTCCTTCAGACTTCCTCACAGAGCTCCTCCTCCAACACACACGAACGCGCACATGACCAATGAGGGCACGAGATAAGTTTGTGCACAGATGGAAGGCTGACAGGCAGGTAGGCCATCCAGTTACTTTAGCCGGCTCAGATGATTGGTCGTGCTTTTTACAGTACCACGGCTTCCACTGATGACATGTTTTATGTATTTTTTGTCAAAGCACTTCAGATATTCATTGCTGTCGGGATGTTGAGAGCATTCCATGGAATATAACAAAAAGGGTATCTCGAGCCGGTTTCTCAAACTTACCTAACCCACCTTTAAATTACATAGAAATAAATAAAATAATTTGAACTCAAACTTTCAGACAAAATTATTGTTTTAAATTAACATTTTGTCTCAAATAATGTAAGTAGGTGAGCGGACATTAAATCAATTTGAATCAATGATTTCCCATCAACAAATAAGATTTAAATAAATTACATTATATATAAAAAAATACAATAATTGTAAATATATAAAAGAAAAAATTCCAACATCATTTTTTAAAATTAACATTATGTGTCAAATAATTAAATTCTTAAGCTCAGTAGTTGTGTAATAAGAGATCCAGTCATTATTGTGAACTCTCAGTGTGAGTACATGTTGGGGTTCATTCCCCAATAAGATAGATTTGGAGGGATGAAGCCCTCTTTAATGGTCTCACATGCAGCACACACAGTGACATGTGTTCTCTGCATTTAACCCATCCTATTACCAGGAGTCTAGTACCAGGAGTCCAGTACCAGGAGTCTAGTACCAGGAGTCTAGTACCAGGAATCTATCACCAGGAGTCTAGAACCAGGAGTCCAGTACCAGGAGTCTAGTACCAGGAGTCTAGAACCAGGAGTCTATCACCAGGAGTCTAGAACCAGGAGTCTAGTACCAGGAGTCTAGTACCAGGAGTCTAGAACCAGGAGTCTAGACCAGGAGTC